TTAAAAAAAAAAAAAAAGGAAGGGAAAAATGAAGGGGGGGAAACAGAGCAGGAGATGAATCATGAGAGACTATGGACTCTGAGAAATAAACAGAGTTCTAGAGGGGAGGGGGGTGGGGGGATGGGTTAGCCTGGTGATGGGTATTAAAGAGGGCATGGACTAAATGGAGCACTGGGTGTTATACGCAAACAATGAATCATGGAACACTATATCAAAAACCAGTGATGTAATGTATGGTGATTAACATAACCTAATAAAATAAAAATTTAAATAAATAAAATAAAATGAGGGGTGCCTGGGTGGCTCAGTCGTTAAGCGTCTGCCTTTGGCTCAGGTCGTGATCCCAGGGTCCTGGATCGAGCCCCGCATCGGGCTCCCTGCTCAGCGGGAAGCCTGCCTCTCCCTCTCCCACTCCCCCTGTTCGTGTTCCTGCTCTCGCTGTGTCTCTCTGTCAAATAAATAAATAAAATCTTTAAAAATAAAATAAAATGAGCCCTTACAAGGTAGGTAATATATAGATCAGTATGCTATTTAAATTGCTAAAGCAAAGTGATAATTATTGCCAACTTAAAATATTATCTCTAGCAAGGTAAAAATGCTTTTTTTAGAATGCTTCCCTTAGAAAAAACACTTTAATACATTCTTAATGTGTAAGTTTTAGCTACTTGTTTCAAATGCTCAAATTACTGCTAAGAGTGTAAGTTTCCCTCAGACGAAAATTCTTTGACTTTGTTTCTCTTGTCAATATGTAACTGGATGTTTCTCACTTATAATGTACATATTATGGGGTTACAAAGATGTATAACCACCCTAACTCTCCAGTTCAATTTACATTTTAGTTAGAAATAAAACTTCAGGGGCTGCTAAGGTGGCTCATTCGGTTGAGCGGCTGACTCTTAATTTGGGCTCAGGTCATGATCTCAGAGTCCTGGGATCGAGCCCCGTGTCAAGCTTTGCTCTCAGCGGGGAGTCTGCTTCAGGTTTCCCTCTCTACTCACCCCTCCCTGACCCCCGCTTTCTTGCTCTGTCTCTCTAAAATGAATGGATAGATCTTTAAAAAATAAATAAATAAAACTTTAAAAACAATAAGACAATGCATTATAATAAATGTCAGATGAAATTACACATAGTACATGCTGTGGTTCAAGAGAGTAAGAAGTTGATTTGCACTGGTAAAGCTGGGGAAGGCGTTTACTGGTGATAGAACTTGAGTCAGGCTTTGAAGGATTGGTAGGATTTGGCTTTGGAGTAAAGATCTAGGTTTCCAAATAACTTTTTCTAGGAACATTCTGCTGCCAGAGTCATGTCATTTTTATGCACAGTGGTAGGGAAACTGTCATATGACAATAGCTAGTCCAAATAATGGCAAAGAAAAAAATTCAATTTAGTACATTAAATTGAATTGGTGTTGATTTATATATTTTTTATTTTTTAGAATTGATGTTGATTTATTGATTGATGAAATACTTGAGTAACTTTTAGGTACTACAACACAGTTCTAGTTCTTGGGACATACCAATGAATGAAACAAAAACTTTTGCCATCTTAAGAGTTTATATTCTAGTAGAGAAAGAGAGGCAAACAAACCTGATGGGTTCTGAGTGGGCCTCATTGAGAAGTTAAGATTTGAAGAAAGAACATTCCAGGCAGAGGGATCAGCTAGAGCAAAGGTCTATAGCAGGATCCTTTCCTCTTCTGTCACTTTGGGCCATTGCCTTCATGACCTGGATCTTCCCTCTTCCCTCTTCACCTTGTCAAGGATTTTATTCCTTTGGTTATCCCCTTTGTTTCGTATATCATTAATCTCTCCTTTGTAGACTTAGTCTCATTACTCTATAAACATGCTCTAATATCTTATCTTTAAAGTTCATCTTTTACTTGTCTCTTTCCGGCTTCTGTCCCATTTTTTGTTTTTCTCTTATACATTCATGAATTCACTTCAGTATAGGTTCTAGCCTCACTACATCACCAAGAAGATTCTTACCACACCACCTAAAAAGTTCTTGTCAGTCAGGGTCTCTTACAGTCTTGATGTGGGAAATTTAAATAATATTTTTCTATTCTCATTTTACTTGACCTCTTGTCAGTATTTGCATTAGAAAGCTACTATCTCTTTCTTTTTTTTCATTGATTAAAGAATGCACATTTTATTATTCATAAGTCCAAAAATAGAATATTTGTTACCTCATTACAGTTTTGATTTTTTTTTCTCACCAAATCAAATTTTATTCCATCAAGGCAGACACTGGTAAGTAGATGATAGGTATTTATCATAACGGTTGTAGAAAAGTTTACTATGTTCACCCTTTTTAATTTAAATTCAATTAATAACATATAGTGTACTATTAATTTCAGAGGTAGAGTTCAATGATTCATCAGTCTTATATAATACCAGTGCTCATCACATCACATGCCTTACCCACTGTCCATCACCCAGTTACCCCACCTACCCCCACCCCTCCAGCAACCCTCAATTTGTTTCCTATGATTAAGAGTCTCTTACGGTTTGTCTCCCTCTCTGATTTTGTCTTGTTTTATTTTTTCCTCTCTTCCCCTTTGATCCTGTTTTGTTAAGTTCCACATAGGAGTGAGATCATATGATAATTGTCTTTCTCTGACTTATTTCACTTAGTATAATACCCTCTAGTTCCATCCACATCATTGCAAATGGCAAGATTTCACTTTTTTGATGGCTGAGTAATATTCCTTGGTATACATATACCACTTCTTCTGTAACCATTCATCTGTCGATGGACATCTGGGCTCTTTCCATAGTTTGGCTATTGTGGACGTTGCTGCTATCAACATTGGGGTGCAGGTGTGCCTTTGGATTACCACATGTGTATCTTCGGGGTAAATACCCAGTAGTGCAATTGCTGTGTCATATTTTATGACACAGCATAGAATATGTTGCTCTAAAAAAAAAAGTTCCTCTATTTTCAACTTTCTGAGGAACCTCCATACTTCTCCAGAGTGGCTGCACCAGCTTGCATTCCCACCAACAGTGTAGGAGGGTTCCCCTTTCTCCGCATCCTCACCAACATCTGTCGTTTCCTGACTTGTTAATTTTAGCCATTCTGACTGGTGTGAGGTGGTATCTCATTGTGGTTTTGATTTGTATTTCCCTGATGCCGAGTGATGTTGAGCACTCTTTCATGTGTCTGTTGGTCATTTGGATGTCTTCTTTGCAGAAATATCTGTTCATATCTTTTGCCCATTTCTCGATTGGATTATTTGTTCTTTGGGTATTAAGTTCTTTATAAATTTTGGATACTAGCCCTTAATCTGATATGCCATTTGCAAATATCTTCTCCCATTCCATAGGTTTCCTTTTAGTTTGTTGACTTTTTCCCTTGCTGTGCAGAAGCTTTTTATCTTCATGAGGTCCCAATAGTTCATTTTTGCTTTTGTTTCCCTTGCCTTTGGCAATGTGTCTAGCAAGAAGCTGCTGCAGCTGAGGTTGAAGAGGTTGCTGCCTGTGTTCTCAAGGATTTTGATGGATTCCTGTCTCATATTTCAGTTTTTCATCCATTTCGAGTCTATTTTTGTGTGTGATGTAAGAAAGTGGTCCAGTTTCATTCTTCTGCATGTAGCTGTCCGATTTTCCCAACACCATTTGTTGAAGAGACTGTCTTTTTTCCATTGGATATTCTTTCCTGCTTTGTCAAAGATTAGTTGACCATAGAGTTGAGGGGCCATTTCTGGGTTTTCTATTCTGTTCCATTGATCTATTTGTTTTTGTGCCAAGACCATACCATCCCATCAAGACAGTATGTCTTGATGATTATAGCTTTGTAATAAAGCTTCAAGTCTGGAATTGTGATGCCACCAGCTTTGGTTTTCTTTTTCAACATTCCTTTGGCTATTTGGGATCTTTTCTGGTTCCATACACATTTTAGGATTATTTGTTCCAGCTCTGTGAAAAAAATTGATGGTATTTTGATAGGGATTGCACTGAATGTGTCTTGCTCTAGGTACCATAGACACTTTAACCGTATTTGTTCTTTCAATCCATGAGCATGGCAGGTTTTTCCATTTCTTTGTGTCTTCCTCAATTTTTTTCACGAGTCTTTTATAGTTTTCTGAGTATAGATCCTTTGCCTCTTTGGTTAGATTTATTCTTTAGGTATCTTATGATTTTTGGTGCAATTGTAAATGGGATCGACTCCTTAATTTCTCTTTGTTCTGTCTCATTGTTAGTGTATAGAAATGCAACTGATCTCTGTGCATTGATTTTATATCCTGCCACTTTGCTGAATGCCTGTATGAATTCTAGCAATTTTGGGGTGGAGTCTTGGGTTTTCCACACAGAGTATCATGTCATCTGCAAAGAATGAGAGTTTGACTACTTCTTTGCTGATTTGAATGCCTTTTATTTCTCTTTGTTGGCTGATTGCTGAGGCTAGGACTTTGAGTAGTATGTTGAACATCAGTGGTAATAGTGGACATCCCTGCCATGTTCCTGACCTTGGGGGAAAGCTCTCAGTTTTTCCCCATTGAGAATGATATTTGCTGTGGGCTTTTTATATATGGCTTTTATGATAATGAGATATGTTCCCTCTATCCCTACTATGGGAGTTTTAATCAAGAAAGGATGCTGTACTTTGTCAAATGCTTTTCCTGCATCTGTTGAGAGGATCGTGTGGTTCTTGTCCTTTCTTTTATTGATGTATTGTATCCACAGTGATTGATTTGCCGATGTTAAACCACCCTTCGAGCCCAGGAATAAATCCCATGTGGTCATGATGAATAATCCTTTTAATGTACTCTTTCTTGAAATGCCTTTATTCTTGGTACACACTCTAATTTTGTGAGTTTACTTTCCATTGTGTAGTACTCTTAGCATTATCCTTTTCTATTAAACCTCTAAAATATTGGAGTTTTCTTTTCAGGGTTTGATATTAGATATTCTTTTTCTAAATTCCATCTGTGTGCTATTAATCCCCAAATTATGTCTCTACTATAGCCAGTGGACATTTCCACTTGGATGTCTTATACACGTCTTATCATTTAACTGGCTCACAGTTAAATACTGATGTTCCTCAGATTATTCTGTGTAACAGAAAATGACACTAATACACAGTTATTCAAGCCAGAATAGTAGAAGTTGTCCTTGATTCCTTTCTTCCTCAGATTCTTTCTCACATTCTGATCATTAGTAAGTCATTTGTATTCAACCCTCAGTTTGTTTTTGTAATTATCCTAGGTCAGGCTACCATCTTCTTACTCCCTGTGATCCTGATTATTCTGTGTGGTCTATTGTCTATACAGTAGCAAAGGCAGTATTTAAAAAATAAACTAAAATACATCATTAGCCTGCTTAAAGCCTCTCTTTAGCTTCCCATGTTAAAATGAAGTCTGAATTCCTACTGTGGCCCTTTGTGATCTGGTATTTGCCCAATTCTCCATTCTCATCTTGAGCTACTTTCTTCTCATTCACTGGTTTTCCCTACTGATTGTCTTGAAATACATTTTTACTGCCACCCCATTCTCTGACTGGCTACTTCTTATCTTTACAGTAACATCTTAATTGGTGCCTCTTCAGAGAGGCCTGCTTGACTTATCTTCTTTATAGTAGGTCTCTGCCTTAATTTAGTCAGCACCCCATTTATTTCCATTCTAGCAGTCAACATCACTTGTAATCAATTTGATTGTTTTTTTTCTCTATTTCTTACACTAGACAGTGTGCTCACCAAGGACAGAAACTGTGTCTATCTTGTTCATTATTGTGCTCTAGCACCTAGAAAGGTGGCCTGATACATAATGGCATTCAATAGATGTTCGTCCTGGAATGTTCGTACATTCCAAGTTATGTATTAGGCACAAGAGATATTGTAGAGATTGAAACAAAGTTCCCTTCCCCTCACAGAGCTTTTTGTTCTAGTTCAGGAAATTAGTAAAATTAAGTAAATGTAAGTATTCCTCATTATACTTAGCCGTGTTTAGCTCCTGAGTTCAAAGAGCCACAGTTGGGATATCAAAAGATATGAGGTTATCTCAGTCTATTTGGTTCCTAAGTTTTAATTTGTGGATAATGAGAACTCAGAGATTGAGGAATACAAGCCCTGTCTTTTTTTTTTTTTAAGATTTTATTTATTTATTTGACATATAGAGTGAGAGAGAGAGCACAAGCAGGAGGATTGGCAGGCAGAGGGAGAAGCAGGCTCCCCGCTGAGCCTGATATGGGGCTCAATCCCAGGACCCTGGGACCATGACCTGAGCCGAAGGCAGATGCTTAACCAATTGAGCCATCCAGGTGCTCCAGCCCTGTCTTAAAATATATTCAAACCTTTTTGGTTCCTGAGTTTGTTAAGCAAGAATTCGGAGAGTCAGGGATACCTATATGCTGTATGTCAAATGTGATAATGGCAGGAAAAAAGTAAGAATAAGAGAACAAAGTAGTGGGGTTGAAAGACAGTTGTTTTACATAGGACGGCCTGAGAAGATAACATTTCAGTAAAGGTATAAAGGGAATTTGGAGTGAGCCATGAGGATATCTCCTTCCAGGCAGAGAGAATAGTCTGCTTCTCCTTACCAAATTTGAGGATTTGTGGCAGGCCAGTAGGCTGAAGTGAAATAAGTGAAGGGGGGAGGGATAGGAAGTAAGGTTAGAAGGAGGGTGGTGGGAGGGTGGAGGGCATAGGTCATGCAGGTCCTTACAAAGCATAGGTTTGAAGTCTCCCAATATTGTATCTAAATTGCTCTGACAACTGTTAGTGAGTGTGTGTGGGAGGGTTTCAGAGGGGAATGGGAGTGTATTGTGTTTATATTGCTAAAAAGCTGAACTAAATGAATTAAAATAGAATATTAAGAAAAATAGTTTATATTTTAGTCACATGTTGACTCTGGTTCACACATTACTAGGCATTCAACATAATGTAGCAGTTCCTTCTGTTAAAGAAAAACAATCCCCCAAAGCACTGGAAAAAGTATTTAAGCCGCAAGTGATTCCCTCTGTATTTCCTGAGACATCAGTTTCTCCTTCAAACATGGCACAAGGCACTCCACTCGACTCTACCTCACAAACAGTGGCCCAAGTAAGTTCACTGTAGTTTTAAAATGGTTTAATGTAAGGAGTTGTTGTGATGACTAAACCTTTTTTTTAAGTTGATATGAAAAACAGTTGGGCTTCAGCTTACCACAGTTAATCTTTTTGTCTGTGTACATTTTGTAACAGAGACCTAGGATGTGAACCAAATTTTAGAGATTTCTTGGTAGAATTTGAACTGGCTTACTGTATTTTTAGTGTTAATATCAGTTGCCCAACTATCCATTCTGTGTGTTATATAACTTCTTTTGGGTTGGTAATTAAAATTGTATACCACAGCTGATTTCAGGTATTCAGAAACTTGTTTTTGTATAACTATGACTTATTTTCCCATATATCTTTATTTATCTCAAAGGTTTACACAAGACAATTCTTTGGATATTAGGAAAAAATACTTGAACTATTTATTTTACCTATAAAAGAGAAATTAACCTTTACTAATATTTAATATAAGGAAGACTTGGTGCTGCTAAGTTTGAAAACTTGCTCTGAATGTCCCCTTCATTATAGTTTTTGTTGTTACTGAATTATTTCAGGTTACAAGGGGTGTGAAGAGGAAAGCAGATACCACAACTCCTACAACTTCAGTAGTTAAAGCAAGTGGTGAATCTTCCCCAACGCTTGCAGAAAAAAAATCGGTGAAAATGCCACCTATAAAAGAAAATGTGCTGAAGACTGTTCTGCCAGATTCTCAACAACAATGTAAAGTTGTAAAGAATGTTAAAGTGACCGAACAGTTAAGGCACTGTAGTGAGATTCTTAAAGAAATGCTTGCAAAGAAACACTTATCCTATGCATGGCCCTTTTATAACCCTGTTGATGTTAATGCTTTGGGGCTCCATAACTACTATGATATTGTGAAAAATCCAATGGATCTTGGAACTATTAAGGTAAATATTGTCGTAATAGGAGAAACTTCGTTTCTTGATTATAAAAGTAATCTTGTCATTGTAAAAATTGTTTTAATTCAGAAAAAGATAATGAAGAAGATTAAAATCATTAGTTAGTCATATCACCTGGAATGAATCATGGGAAAATTTTTAAACATCTTTCTTTTTCTTCTATTCAAACACACCCATTGTTCTTTGCCACAATGTTTGAGTTACAGTATGTACTATAACTCTGTACCCTGAATTTTCACTTACTATGTTTTAAACATTTTTTCTCATTATAGATTCAAGATTATATTTTTAATGCATAATTCTGATGCAATTTTGGGGGGGATAAGACATTTATATAGTTTCCAAACCTCTCTACATTTTTTTGGGGGGAGTCTTCTGCTGGCGTGGTCAGATCTTTTAAATTATTATTTTTTTAATTTTTTTTTTCAAGTAAACCCCAGTGTGGGACTCGAACTCAAGACCCCTAAGATAAGAGTCAAATGCTTTACCAACTGAACCAGCCAAGCAGGCCTTAATTTTTAATCGAAGTGTAGTTGACATACAATGTTTATATGATTAAGGTGTACAACATAATGATTGACAGTTCTGTATTTTATGCAGTACTCACCATGAAAGTGTAGTTACCATCTGTCACCATACAATGTTATTACGATATTACTGATTATATATTCCCCGTTCTATAATTTTCATCCCCGTGGCTTGCTTATTTTTTAAGTAGAAGTTTGTACCTCTTAATCCCCTTTACCTATTTCTTTCATCCCCCTCTCCCTCCCTTGCAACCATCAGTTTGTTCTCAGTACTTATTAGACAGTTTCTGTGTGTTTGTTTTGTTTTTTAAAGATTTTATTTATTTGAGAGAGAGAGAATGAGAGATAGAGAGCCCGAGAGGGAAGAGGTTCAGAGGGAGAAGCAGACTCCCTGCTCAGCAGGGAGCCTGATGTGGGACTCGATCCCGGGACTCCAGGATCATGACCTGAGCCTAAGGCAGTCACTTAAACAACTGAGCCACCCAGGCGCCCTGTTTTGTTTTTTAGATTCCATATACAAGTGAGATGATACAGTATTTGTCTTCCTCTGTCTTATTTCACTTAGCATAATACCCTCTAGGTCATACCATGTTGTTGCAGGTGACAAGATCTCATCCTTTTTTATGGCTGAGTAATATTTCACTTGGGGTGTGGGTGTGGGTGTGTGTGTGTGTGTGTGTGTGTGTGTGTGACATCTTTATCCATTCATCTATTGGTGGATTCTGAGGTTGCTTCCATACCTTGGCTGTTGTAAGTAATACTGCAATATACTTACATATATTTTTCTGAATTAGTGTTTTTGTTTTCTTTTATGAATTATTTATGTATCTTGGATATTAACCCCTTATCAGATACATAATTTGTGCATCTCTTGTCCCATTCAGTTGGTTGCCTTTTTGTTTTATGATATTCTTCATTGTGCAAAAGCTTTTTTGTCTGATGTACTTTATTTTTGCTTTTGTTTTCCTGGCCTGAGGGGAAAATGTTGCTAAGGCCCATGTTCAGGAGATTACTACCTGTGTTTTCTTCTAGTTTTATGGTTTTTATGTTTCATTTAGGTCTCTAATCCATTTTGAGTTTATTTTTATGTATAGTTTAAGAAGGTGGTTCAGTTTTCATTCTTCTGCACATAACTGTCTAGTTTTTGCAGCACCATTTGAAGAGACCGTCTAGTCCCCATTGTATATTCTTGCCTCCTTTGTCATAGGTTAACTGACCATATAAGTGTTGATTTATTTCTGGGCTCTCTGTCCTGTTCTACTGATGTATCAGTCTGTTTTTGTGCCAGTACCACACTGTTTTGATTACTGTAGATTTGTAATGTATATCTTGAAATCTGGGATTGCAGTACCTCTAGTTACGTTCTTAAGATTGCTTTGGTGATTCAAGGTCTTTGTGGTTCCTTTTTGTCCTAGGTCTATGAGAACTACTATTGGTATTTTCAAAGGGATTGCATTAAATCTGTAGATTGCTTTGGGTGGCATGGACATTTTAACTGTTCTTCCAGTTCATGAGCATGGTTTATCTTTTTTTTTTATTTTTTTATTGTTATGTTAATCACCATATATTACATAATTTGTTTTGGTGTACTGTTCCATGATTCATTGTTTGTTCATAACACCCAGTGCTCCATGCAGAACGTGCCCTCCTCAATACCCATCACCAGGCTAACCCATCCCCCCACCCTCCTCCCCTCCAGAAACCTCAGTTTGTTTTTCAGAGTCCATCATCTCTCCTGGTTCGTCTCCCCCTCTGACTTACTCCCCTTCATTCTTCCTCTCCTGCTATCTTCTTCTTTTTCTTTTTTCTTAACATATGTTGCGTTATTTGTTTCAGAAGTACAGATCTGTGATTCAACAGTCTTACACAATTCACAGCGCTCACCGTAGCACATATCTTCCCCAATGTCCATCACCCAGCCACCCCATCCCTCCCACCCCCGACCACTCCAGCAACCCTCAGTTTGTTCCTGAGATTAAGAATTCCTCATATCAGTGAGGTCATATGATACATGTCTTTCTCTGATTGACTTATTTCACTCAGCATAACACCCTCCAGTTCCATCCACGTCGTTGCAAATGGCAAGATCTCATTCCTTTTGAGAGCATGGTTTATCTTTCCATTTATGTTTTCACTTTTTTTCATCAGTGTCTTATAATTTTCAGAGTTACAGGTCTTTTACTGTCTTGGTTAGATTCAGTCCTAGGTTTGTTTTTGTTTTTGCTGCTGCTTCTTGTCTGATTGCTGCAGCTAGAATTTTTAGTACTATGTCGAATAAAAGTGGTGAGCATGGACATCCTTGTTCTTTGTCTTAGAAGAAAAGCTTTCAGTTTTTCACACTGAGTATGATGTTAGCTGGGTTTTTCATATATGGCATTTATTATATTGAGGTATGTTCCCTTCAAAATACACTGTTGAGAGTTTTATCATGAACAGATTTGAATTTTGTCGGATTTTTTTCTGCATTTATTGAGATGACTGTATGGCTTTTATCTTTCATTTTGTTCATGTGTTGTATCCCATTGATTGATTTGCAGATACTGAATCATCCTTGCATTCCTGGGATAAATCCCACTTGATTATGGTGAATGAATTCTGCTAATATTTTGTTGAGGATTTTTGCATCTATGTTCATCAGGGATATTGACCTGTAATTTTTTTTTTTGCATCTATGTTCTTCAGGGATATTGACCTGTAATTTTTTTAATTTTTTAATTTTTTATAGTGTCTTTGTTGTTTTGGTATCAGGGTGACACTGGCCTCATAGAAGGAATTTGGAAATTTTTCTTCCTTTTCCATTTTTTTGAATAGTTTGAGGAAGTTAGGTATTAACTCTTTAAATGTTTGGTAGGATTCACTTGTGAAGCCATGTAGTCCTCAACTTCTGTTTCTTGGGAGTTTTTGATTACTTATCAATTCCATTACTAGTAATCGGTCTGTTCAGATTTTCTATTTCATCATGACTTAGTCTTGGAAGATTGTGTGTTTCTGGGAATTTATCCATTTCTTCTAGGTTATCTTAATCTGTTGCCCTATTATTTTTTTGTAGTAATCTCTTACCCTTTGTATTTCTGTGGATCGGTTGTTACTTATCTTTCATTTCTTATTTTGAGTCCTCTCTTTTTTGATGTTTCTGGCTCAAGGTTTATCAGTTTTGTTTTATTTTTTCAAAGGATTGGCTCTTGGTTTCATTGGTCTTTTCTATTGTTTTTTTTAGTCTCTTTATTTCAGCTCTGATCTTTATTATTTCCTTCCTTTTACCAATTCTGTTCGATTTTAAATGTCTTTTCATTTTGAGGAAATTTTAATAAAAACCTTTATTTAAATCAAGGTTGGTTGAAGGAATTTATCTTTTCATTGCTTTCCTAGAATCATACTTATCTAAGATTATCTGGAAATGCACTCTTTTCCTGCTTTTGTGATTTTGTTCCTGTTCTTTTTTTTTTTAAACTTGGAATATCCTCCTTATCTCTACTTGTCAAAATTCATTGGATATTTTCAAAGTCAAAAAATACAAAACAAATATAGCAGAATTTTAACAATTATCAAATTTGGAGGGTGGGTATCTGGTTTTGGTATTACCTGTGTTCTTTTGTATGTTTCAACTATTTCATAATATAAAGAATTAATGTAAATGCTCAAATGATTATCAAACTATGTTTGTGAATCCTATAATTTTTCTTTAATTTAGGGAAAAATGGACAACCAAGAATATAAAGATGCATATGAATTTGCTGCAGATGTTAGATTAATGTTCATGAATTGCTACAAATACAATCCTCCAGATCATGAAATAGTGACAATGGCAAGAATGCTCCAGGTAACTTGATAGGTGTGCTCTGAAAGTGAGTTTTCTCTGAACATAATTTGGAAATTTTATTTTATTTTTTTAAAAGATTGTATTTATTTGAGAGAATGAAAGTGAGAGAGATCACAGAGGGAGAGGGAGAAAGCAGACCCACCACCAAGCAGAGAGCCCAGTGTGGGGCTTGATCCCAGGACCCTGAGATCCAGACTTGAGCTGAAGGCAAATGCTTAACTGACTGAGCCACCCAGGCGCCCCTAGTTTGGAAATTTTAGAGCCATAACTCAAAAGATAAAGAATGCCCACTTCCCAAATATAAAGCACAATTTATTAAGTAAATTGACTCTTAAAATGTAGGTTGTTTTTTGAGGTAGAGCACATATTAGTAGCAAATCTTTTAAGGAGGCTGCCTTACACATAGAGGATATTGGGGAAATATTAGTGAAGAGGGGATAGTAGATACCTGAGATAGGATTGACTAGAGCCCATGTCCTCCTGAAGGTAAAGCTCTAGGACTTTTGAGTGGAATGTAGTAGAGGGGTGGAGTGGAATGTAATGGAGTGGGAGGTAGTGGAATGATGCATCATAGGGCAGGAGATCCTTGAAAGAAGGTCCTCTATACAACTTGAGAGGTCTATCTTATGTGGAAGAGAGGAGAAAAGTTCTAAGGTTGGCAGGCAAGGAAGCATGAGTCTTATGTTTCTTCTTCGGTAAATTCCCCCCCCCACCCTACCCTCGTTTTATAGAGATAAAATGGACATATAACATTGTATAAGTTTAAGGATATAACATAATGATTTGATGTATATATTATGTAGTGATTACCCCAATGAAAAATAGAGTTATCAAAATATGACACTTTTGTTGAAGGGTGTTATTGCTATATTAAGTTGGAAATACAGAAAATCTTTATGGTCTAATCTTCCATTATAGGATGTTTTTGAAATGCATTTTGCGAAAATCCCAGATGAACCTGTTGAGAGTATGCCTGTCTGCTCCGTCAAAACAGATACCACAAAAATCCTTGGTAGAGAAAGCAGTAGTGAAGCTTCCTCCGAAGATAACTCTTCTGATGATTCTGAAGATGAACGAGTTCAACGTCTTGCAAAGCTTCAGGAGCAGGTAGTAGATTGTATTGATAAAAGTTTTTGTATTTTCATGAGTTGTTCCTGCAGATCTGTTATAAAATCATTTTTGTAGATTAAAAGCTGTTACATTTAGATCACTTAACAACTGTGGCTTTATTTACTTCTTGGCACATTTGTAATGTTTAATAGTCTTTCTTACCCAAAGATCTGTGTATCTTAAAATTCTGTTATCTTTCTAACCACAGTGAGTTTATTCTCACTGAAATGATTTATATGACATAATCCAAGATATTTTATGGATGAGTTTTTGTTCAACATTGTTACCTTTTGTGATAAAATGTTAAGCTGCTCCTAGCTCAAGCCTGAAAAAAACAATTAGAAAGTTAAGATTAGGGCACCTGGGTGGCTCAGTCATTAAGCGTCTGCCTTTGGCTTAGGTCATGATCCCAGGGTCCTGGGATCAAGTCCTACATCGGGCTCCCCGCTCAGCAGGAGACCTCCTGCTTCTCCCTCTCCTACTCTCCCTGCTTGTGTTCCCTCTCTCACTGGCTCTCTCTGTCAAATAAATAAATGAAATCTTTAAAAAAAAAAAGAAAAAAGAAAGTTGAGATTACCAGGAAATGTTAATTTTCATGGTCTGTTTTTAGTTGAATATCTAAGTTTATGAGTTGAGCACATGATAGTATTTCTGATTTAATGTATGTCCTTCAAAATAATGAATTTATGGAATGAAGTAAGAACTTAAAGGAAATGTAATAGGAAAATTTCAGAAGGATAGGCTTGACTTTTGAGTGCCCTTCATTTTTTTCCTAATGTGTTTCATTATTTAGAGCCATGAATGTTTAAAGAATTTTTTTCTTTATTAGCTGAAAGCTGTTCATCAACAGCTACAGGTTCTCTCCCAAGTCCCTCTCTGTAAGCTAAAGAAAAAGAATAAGTCTAAAAGGGAAAAGAAGAAAGAAAAGGCTAATAACAGAGATGAAAATCCAAGAAAAAAGTTTAAGCAAGTGAAATTAAAGGGAAAGTCCAAAAACAAGTACGTATCTTTTTATACCTTATTCATATAATAATATTATCTAACATAAATTTGACTAAATTTAATTTTTGTTTAGTCAGCCAAAGAAGAGGAAACAACAGGTGTTTGCTCTGAAACCTGAAGATGAGGCTAATGCTAAGCCTATGAACTATGATGAGAAAAGGCAGCTAAGCTTGGATATAAACAAACTCCCTGGAGAAAAACTTGGGCGAGTTGTTCATATAATACAATCAAGAGAGACTTCTCTGAGAAATTCCAACCGTGACGAGGTAGAGATAGACTTTGAAACACTGAAAGCATCAACACTGAGAGAACTAGAAAAGTATGTTGCCACATGTCTACGAAAAAGACCGCTAAAACCTCATGGTACGTATTTCTATCAGTAGAAATCAGTCTGCTATTTGCGTTAGTTTTTGGTAATACTTCTTTCCCTCTTAAATCACATAGGTAAGAAAATAACGAAGTCCAAGGAAGAATTTCATTCACAGAAAAAACAGGAGTTGGAAAAGCGGTTACTAGATGTCAATAATCAATTAAACTCTAGAAAATGTCAAACAAAACGTAGGTGGCAGTTTTTTATGTGTTTTGTTTGTTTGTTTTAAATGTTCCTGTGCTTATTGAATTCTACTGGCAGTGTAATGTGCTTCCCCGTTTTGTAGCTGAGAAAGCTCAGCCCCCCCCGGCTGTTGGAAGTGGTTCCCGGCTGAGCGAGAGCAGCAGCAGCGGCAGCTCATCGGAGACCGAGAGCAGTAGCAGCGATTCAGGCTCGTCCGACAGCAGTGATTCTGAATCAGGTTAGCTGTCTCCTTACGTCTACCTCTGTTGGCGGGAACATTTTTTTCTTGTATTATTGAGACTTCTATTTTTTAAGAAATGTTTGTCACTTACCCAGAACCTATGGTTTGGACACCACGCTTATTATTTAATTGCATGTTGACAATCTTACTATTTTCTTTAAACGAGATACTGTGTAAAATGAAACTTGATATTATATGTATAAGACTTACAGGTTTGTAATGTTGAGAAGTTTACTAAAGGTGGGAGATCGTTTCTTAATATGTAATACATCTTAATACGAGAAAATAACAAATAATAAAATTTCGATCTTTACTTTTTTATAAAATTTAAAAAATATTTGAGGACATCTTTCACTTTACTCTCCATGATCTGTCAGACCAACTCTAATGTTGCAAAGTATGTCCTATTGTGACACTACATTCTAAATTGAATAATCACTTGGAATTAAGAAACCAGTCATCCCAGAAAATGTTTATTTTCTTCACTATAGAATATTATCTTCTATTTCTGGAAAAATGTACTTCAAATTGAGATTTTCAGTTATGCTAAAGTACCATATTACCTTGGGTAGTTTAGCATCAACTGTATCAAGCTTAATTCAGTCATGTTTTCTTTGTGCTCTTTATTATTGATGGTTATGTAGTTGACAAGTAATCACTGCCCCAAGGATACTGACTTGGCAGTGGCATCCCATTATTGTCCACCAAAAGGCACATTCAGAATATCGGGCACTTTTGTGCCTAAAATTTTGCTTTATTTTAAATTAGTTGTTTTTTGTTTGTCATGAAATTTAGTTCTCTTTTAAAAAAATATCCTACACAGAATATTGTCACATCAGTGATTCTTACCATTTGTAAGAATATCCCTCTTACTTCAGTCTGGTAGTAAGGGTCTGCTGGCTTGCAATACATTCTGTTTCACTTTTGGTTCTGTTTAGTTTGCATTTATGTGGTGTTCATTGTTGCATTTTGTTTTTATATTTCTAAAGTGTATAGGGGTAAACATTTTTGTTATAATAAAAAATTTTTACTTTTGCTGGAATTTGTCGTAGTAAGTTTTTAAATTATTTTTAGGCTCTGATTATACATTATTTCCTTATATTTGACTTTAAAGCATAAAACAATGCTGGAAAAGTATTTTAAATTGTAATTAGCATTTGTAATTTCATCTAATAAAGCATTTGTGGCCTAATAAGTTAGAGCACTTTGTCTTTTATTTGTAGGATAAAACTGAGTTATCCAATTATGTATTGGCTGCTGATCAATAAATGCCTTGAGCATTAGTGGAAAAGTACTCTATACAGAGTGCTTCAATAGATGTATTCAAAAATACCTTAATTTTAATTTGAATTATCAATTTCTCATAGATTCTTCCAATACATTGCTTGAAGGAAAGATGTTTATCATCCACTATGTGTTCTTAAAGTGGCGTAATATATATGTTTTCATAACTTTCTAGTGGAATAACTTGGCCTCAGAATTATAATTTTTTTAACACTTTGTGTTGAATTTTTATTTTATGACTGGTGTTCTTGTTTAATGTCATCTTTTTCAATAACAGGGACTGTTTTTGAAAACACTGTTAAAAAGTCAAAGCAACATATTTTTATATTTGAACTTATGAATAATGTATAAGTTTGTGGTGCTAAAGTCAGTTGGTCTTCTAACATGATAGTATGGGTTAGCATTTTTCTTTGAAAATTTTGTTTTATAAACTTTGCAACTATGTACTTGATTCGAGAAACACTATATGTACAATGTGCAGTTATAAATTGCAAACACAATGCCTACCTTAAATGAGCATTAAGTTCTTTTGGATTTTTTTTTTTTGTTTATTTTACTTGTTTAACAAAATAAATTAGTAAGTGAAGCAATAGGAACTTGTCCTAAATATTAACTTTAATTGTATGCATCAAAATACTGTAAGGCTTTTAATTTTTAGTGTGTAATCTAAGAACATTTCTTACTTGAACAACAAAAACCCTAAATAAAAGGATTGTAAATTATGAAGATAATTGTCAGACCATATCAATAGCAGTACTTTAGTAAAAATAAGTAAAGCATCTACCATTCTTAAGTATGTACATGACATTCTCAAGGAGCAGATGACAAATCCCAAGTATGTATAAGTCTCAGGGTGGAGGGAAATGGAATTACTTACTGAGAAAATACAATTTGTGAAAATTAGGAATATTAGCAAAAACTTTATCTGTTATGAAAGTAAAAATTAACTGAAAATATACATAAAATTTTGTAGCTTTAGAGTTTATTATGATTTGCCCAGAACTGAAACTTACGGTTGGAAAATCTTCATTACCATAACTCTGGTTAATGAGGCTTTTGATTATTCAAGATAGGAGATAAAAATATAAGTTCATTTCTTCAAAATGTTAATAGAGGAAACTTCTCTGAAAGCTTTTGTGAGAAATTCTTTCCTGATAGAAGGATATTGACCTTTAGCAATTTTTTCTTAATCTATTTTTTAATACCTGCCTTTTGGAATTTTTATAGCAGCTTGACTGTATGCAGTTTTCTTGACCAAGTCATAATCTTTTGTAATTTTGGTTATCAAGGATAAAGCTCTATATTAACTTTTCTTAATTCCCTAATATTATTCAGTCGCATGGTTCTTCAGTTACCCTGTATTATGAGTTGGTCTGTCTTTACTGCAGTCGCATTCTTTTCAGATGTGTGAAATGGGTGTGCAAAATGTTTGAAAGGTAACATCTGTGAAAAACATTTAAGTGTTGTAAATTGTGTTACAGTTGTTCATTCTACATTATTTAAATGATTATCTTCTCTGTATTCTCAAACCTTGTTTTATGCACTTTTGAAAAGTAGACTTAATTCTCCTTTATCAAATAGGGTTAATAAAATGGCAGAGTTACGATTTCCAAGGGAAGTTTGACTTAAAAATTCTTTAACATTTCAAACAAGATATTAAATTAGTTCCGAAATAGAGTTGGAATGAAATCTCAAATCTTTGAAAAATATAAATGAGTTATCTGGGGTAGAAGCAGTACTTGATTGCAGATTTGTTGTAATTTGGTTTTATCATTTAAATTATTTTCTTGACCAACAACAGTATATGGAAATTGTCATGTGCAGTTTAGTCAAGAACATTTATTAAACATTGGTATAAATACAAAGCTTTCCTAAATTATTTTTCATAACCATCAAAATATCACCAAATGTCAGATCAAAGATGTTAATGAGGTTTGACAATAAAACGAATTCCAGATGCGTCTTACATGCTGTTAGCTGTGCTCTGCCTAGTATGTACACATAACCTGTTGAGAGTGTTCTAATGCGCAACAACTATGGCTATCTTGAGTGTTATAACGGGAGGAATATAATCAATAGATTCAATCATGTGGTCAATATTACTGAGAAACAAATGGGAACAGTTCATTGGTAGTAGTGCTTTTGATAGAAATCTTGTAGGAAATAACTTTAGGAACTGTCTAAATGTAAGTTCAAATACTTGATTAGTGTAGAATAGAATATTTTTCAGGAATGTTTATAATTTCATTTGTTTAATACTTACACGCAAAGAAACTCACTGGTTATGGCATCAATTCTTTACCTGATTAAGACAACGTTAATTTGTCACTTCATTTGTTAGACTTTTTGCTTTTATTGGCTTCAGTGTAGTTTCAGAGAATGAAATTTATGAAGTTCTTTAACACTTTCTTTTTTAAAAAACTTACTTATTCATGGGTGACTTACAAACAGGAATAAAACAACTTCTCATTTTAGTTCTACAACCTAGGTTTTCTGTAAAAGTGACAGGATATGATTTTTTTCATGCAGGGGAAAAAGGACAAAAAGGCCTCGGTTGAGGTCTGGGTTTTGTTTTAACGCTTTAGGGGGAGGACGGGTCAGTGAATGTAGGAAGTACGAAATGACAGTTGGGGATAATCTTTGCCATTTAAGAGAAGTGATCAGAGTTTATCATTCAGATTTTTTAAACTTTATGACTTCCTCATCAATTAAAGCGTTTTCAGAGCAAAAGCACCGGAAAGATAAATTCAAAGACCCAGGCTTGATTAAAAACTTATATATATTGAGGTCTATACTTGAGCCTTTGAGTCTTCAAAATTATTGATGAATTTTGTCTTGTGCATTTAAAAATTTTCTGTTCGGGCGCCTGGGTGGCTCAGTTGGTTAAGTGACTGCCTTCGGCTCAGGTCATGATCCTGGAGTCCCGGGATCGAGTCCTGCATCGGGCTCCCTGCTCGGCGGGGAGTCTGCTTCTCCCTCTGACCCTCCTCCCTCTCGTGCTCTCTCTATCTCATTCTCTCTCTCAAATAAATAAAATCTTAAAAAAAATTTTTTTTTCTGTTCAAAATGGGTCTTCCTGAATAGGCCATCTGTCTAGAATAGTGTTTTCTCAGTACATTAATGTGCTGCCACATTTGAGAACCACTGGTCTAGGGTTTTTTCCTTTTGTTTCCACTTTTTAACTCTAGTTATTATGATTTTGGTAAAAGGAACAGCAGTTTATAATTGGGTTGTTCTGGGGCACCCGGGTGGCTCATTTGGTTAAGTGTTCTGCCTTGGGTTCAGGTCATGATCCCAGGGTCCTGGGATCGAGACCCACAGCATCAGACTCCCTGCTCAACAAGGAGTCTGCTTCTCCCTCTCCCTCCACCCCCTTTCTGCCCCCGCCCACACTCATGCTCTCTCTCTCAAATAAATAAAATCCTAAAAAAAAATAATTGGGTGGCCTTCTATATTAAAATAAGTACCAAATACTTCAATGAAATTGCCAAGCAGTCTTTAAAGAAATTAAATTTTTTTAGTTCAAAAACAAATTGCTTGGTTTTTTTGTTTTTTTTTTTTAATCAATAGAACATGTCTTTGGTGATAAGTTTGGGCAAATCATTTATCATTTCTGGACATTCTTTCTTTCTTATAAAATAAGGTAGCAGAACCCAGGAGTGACTTCCATTCACCTTTCTAAACCCTGTGCTATGTAACAGAAGTGTGATTTATTTTTCTAATTTAAGAATTTTCAGTAATTTTTTCTGCTTATATGGCATAACATTCTGGTTTTGCACTATGGTATTCATATTCAGCTTATTAAAGTTTTTTAGTCCATACTGTCTTGCTGATAATATTTGCTATCTCTGGAGCATTTATCTCAATGCTTTGATAGGTGATTGGTATTAAACATCAAATATTTGATTCCAGCTCTCTCTTTTTTATTCTATGATTAAACTTTTTCCCTTAGTTTAAAATGAAAACTTTCCAAAGTTTTATATTGAGGTTTTGGGAAAGATGTGAAAATAGAACTTATTACATAACATGCATAAGTTTTTTGTTTGCGTTTGTTTAGTAGTTCACATATATTATGCATTTTGATTTAGTAGTTCACATAAATTATCCAATTTGAGGCTCTTAAGGTAGGTATACATATTATCACAGTTCCTGGAGAATTAGTTGACAGTATATATGTTACCATTATACTGCTCAATTCCATTAATATTTGTGAGACCTGGGGCTTCTTCACTAATTGAAATGAGATCTTAAGCTTGATAGTGAGAATGCATATGTTGGTCTTTTAATTGCAAAGTCCAGGAACTCATAAATAAACAGTTTTACTTAACTACGTTCCTGGAAAGTCAACTATGTAAGAGTAGAATGAGAACCAAAATGCTGAGTTTTAGTCTGTCATTATTCTTCTATCCATAGTCTGTAAGACTTTTATGAAACATACTGTATTGGGTGGTTTTCACTTTTTTTTATTGCCGTATAATTGACATACGATAGTCTAATAGTTTCAGGTGTATAACATAGTATTCAGCATTTGTATACATTGCAAAATAATGACTACAATAAGTCTAGTTACCATCCTGGTTTTCTCAATTAAAAATTCTTTGATGCCTTTTGCTAGTGTCTTCAGACTTGGAGATGCTAAGTTTTAAAATTCTGAGCTTTATTTTTATATATTAGAAAACTAAGGCCCTTGAATTTTTTTGGTAGAGGTATGTCATATTTTATTATACTTAAGAGTTTATATAAATCATAGAATAATGTAGTTTAGCTGCATATTTGAATAGTTAAGATAGATGTGTAGATGTGCATATAGTATATGATCATATTAATGAAGTCTGGTTTTTTTTGTTCAAAGCCGAAACCGTAATTTATCCCCTAAATGTGAAAGCTCCTTGGATCTATAGCCTTTGCTATAGTCTTTGCTCTCTGTATTCTTCCTCTCCACCTAACCCCCAACACTTAAATAATACTTAGTGGAGTGACATTAAGATGGTTCGTGTCATTTCAAATAATTGAATTCTTCAAATTAAAGCACTTAATTGAGTGGCATTTAGCAGTTTTAACAATGTCCAGCATCAAACATTTTAGGAGAGGAAAGAACAGTAACACATCCAGTGGAAACTGATGGCATTTCAGGAGGCAGAAGGTAATTATTAAAATTAGAATGTTTTAAGTTTGAATAAGATTTGATGTTAACCAGCTATGGTGCCCTGGAGCCTGAAGCAAATAATGCTCAGGTGGCTCATGAACGCTGACCTGGAAAGATGGGTCAAGGCATTAACTGCCGGTTTGGTGCTTTACCACATTGACCTAGGCTTATGACTGGGGAGGATAGCACCAGAATCAGTTGTAAGATAAAGAAAGAGGAACCTATATGAGCACCGTGTCAGAGATCTCTTTTTATATCTATCCTACCACCAGTGTCCGCTGTAAAGGTATTTCTAAAGGTAAAGAAGGTAGTATAAAAACCATCTGTTGCTACATTGTTGAGGCTGCCAAATAGCTAGATTATTTGGGGTCTTTCCTATAATGCTTAGTAAGCAGAGCAGACTTTGCCATGAAATCAGATAGCTTCACTTTTCATAAGAGACTCAGATAAGTGACATACCCTTCTCTTACAGTAAATTCTTAATTATTTAATTAAGTCCTTTATGGCTATATTTATGGCTTCTTGATAAAAGATTTTACCATAATTCATCCTATTTGTTTAAAATCTTATCTGTGTTGTAACTTGCTCCTTTTTAAACTGTTATTCAAACTCTACTATGCTGTTCTTTTTGCCTAAATAATCCAAGTTGAAATTTGTGATTGGATATTTATTCCATTATGTAGAAAAGAAAATATCCCTTTTAAAAAGCAAGTATCCCTTTAGAATTTTGACTGATTCAAAGGTCAAAAACCAGGTAACTATAAGAATTTCTTGATTTAAGAGGTTGGTATTAAAGGTATTTTCTTGAAATGACCCTTTTATTTCTAACATGAAAAATCATTTGTAATTTAAATGGTAAATTTTTAAGCTGGCAAATATTGAAATATTTCTTTATATACATTTGCAGAAATGTTTCCTAAATTTACTGGAGTAAAACAGAATGATTCTCCTAAAGAACAAGTAAAGGTAAGTTAATTCTTCATTTTCTACCTTAGAATTTTAAAATGTATGCTATGACTCCCTGGTATAGTAATAAATTCTTAAAAATTTGTTTTGATTTGGGCGCCTGGGTGGCTCAGTTGGTTGGGCATCTGCCTTCAGATCAGGCCATGACCCCCAGAGCCCTAGGATCGAACCCCCTCACCCCCCGGCTCATCAGGGAGTCTGCTTCTCCCTCTCCCTGCTCGTGCTCTGTCACTCACTCTCTCAAATAAATAAATAAAATCTTTAAAAAAAGAGATTTCTTCCTAAAGGAAATAGAATACAGGAACTAGTTGGCTACATTTTTCTAATAAGGTATAACTGTTCTATAAATCATACAGATTAGTAGAACAAATTATAGAAGTTTGGAATTAGTCTTGAGAGTCTAAATACAGAGAGAAGGCCTTGCTTTTCCTATATGCACACAGTAGGATATAGGCTATGTACAGGAAGGTGGAATTTCTAAAAGTAGTAGGAAAATGGTAGTTAGGGTTTAAGATAAAGCTTTTAATTACCAGCTATTTTAGCACATCTATGATTTGTAGTTGACATGCTTTGAAAAGGATAGAAGTAATTTTACCTGTTACTAATTCAGGTTGTCATTCTCATTAAATTTTTAATCCTCTGTACCCTTCTCAAATATAGAATTACAGGTATATACCTTTATTAAATTTATAAACTATTTAACATCATGTAACTAGGTTAGTGGTGTACAACATAAATACCTGTCTTGAGGGAGCTCAGTTGTGAGAAGAAATAAAATCACATGTTTAAGGGGTTGCATGATTAGTGCTATAATCTATATTCATAATTTATTGAGAAGATGAAGAAGGAACATACATACTGCCTGAAGGAGAGAGTACTTACAACAGGTTTTAAACTACAGGGAAAAGGAAGAAATAGTACATTGACACAGATTAAGGACTTACTTTTTTTTAATTTTTATTTATTTATTTTTAAAGGTTTTATTTATTTATTTGACAGAGAGAGAGAGAGAGAGCACAAGCAGGGGGAGTGGCAGGCAGAGGCAGAGGGAGAAGCAGGCTCCCCGCAGAGCGGGGGGAGCCTGATGTGGGACTCGATCCCAGGACCCTGGGATCATGACCTGAGCTGAAGGCAGTCGCTTAACCAACTGAGCCACCCAGGTGCCTAAGGACTTATTTTTTTAAAACAGAGGTAGTAGCATGAAGAGAAGCAAAAAAGCACGGGAGGTGTTCTGGGAAATATGGCAACATAGGGTATTTGTAAGAGATTAGTTGGCTTGGGAAATATAATAGGGAGGGCTTTGAACACTTAGGTGAAGTGGTAACTAATATGGTAGGCAAGAGTGAGTTCTTGAAGGCTTTGAGTAAGAACAAAATACAGATAATCTGTTGCCATAGGTATTAGAGGAATCAAAATTATATCAATGAATTTTGAAAGCATACTCCATATATGGCATATAGAATGCTGTCATAATAATCTGTTTTTGGCGAGAATTTTTTCAGTGTTCCTCATTGAGGAACAAAATGCCCTTTGATAATCAAAGAGAGAAATATTTTTAGGAGTATGAATAAATGCATATATTTGTGTTTCAAAAAGTGATTTTTTGCTGATTTAAACCTCAGCATTTGACTTTAAGTTTTGAGCTTGGGTCTGTATTATTGTTGGGATAAACATTCTTATGGCATTAGTTTTATTCAAGCTAGCATAGATAGGTATTCATACACTTGCCTTATCTACTCATTCACTCTAACTCCTTTGTTAGATGGGGGAGAAAGACTATCTTACTCATCTCTGTACTACCTACAACTTAAAGCTTAGTAGGTAAGGTACCTGGGCTTTGGTACTATAACGTAGTTTACAACTGAATAGATGTAAGATTCTAGGTAAGTTGCTTTTATTATATCTAAGTCCTGTTGCACACTTCATATGGGGGTGAAAGTTATACCAAACTCATGAGATCATTGTGAGAATTGAAGAACTATATAAAGGGTTTAGCCTGGTGCCTCACACATGATAAGCATTAAATAAATGTTAGCTATTATAATACAGTTTTTACTTAATAAATTAATCAGAATTTGTTGATAGTCTTACAGGTCAACTATCATGATTTTTTTTACCCACGCTTCCCATTATGCCTATAATTCAGTAACGAAAAGGGGGTAAAATAAAGTGGATCAGTCCCTAGATTTGATATAAAAGCTCAGTTTTTATTTTCCATAGCTCACAGGAAAACATTTGAAAATAAGCAGCACTATTTGATAACATGCGTAAGTCTGTATGTATTATTGACTAAGATTATAGGCTTTGGCTAACTCTACTTAAAACTATAGGATGGCCAAGTCATTTAATCTTTCCACATCTTGGTTTTCTCATCTGTAGGAATGGGATAATTATACCTTTTAAGTTTATATGACTCAAGTAATACCATTTTTTGAAGATAGTATTACATTTTTCCTCTGATGTTTCTATTTTTTTTAGTTAAACCTCTTTTGTGGTTAAAACTCTGAAACACAATTTTATTTATCTTTGTCTTAATAGATACAGTCTTCTATGCAAGATAAAGCATCTGCAAAAACCACCCTTGTTTGTCAGACTTCATATTCATGTGAAACACCACCAAATCACCACCAGTTACCATTTAATCATCAAGAAGTAGAACATTTACAGAGTGTGAAAAACATTTCACCTTTACAAATTCTGCCTCCCTCAGGTAAAAAAAATTGACTGGTAAATAACTAGTAAATTCCGGGTTAGATATAATCACTGAAGCACATTGTTAGAAATTATCTGCTTTATACCTAAAGGTACTCATTACATTTGTTTTTTTTTTAATTTTATTAGAATTCAGTTAGCCAACATATAGTACATCATTAGTTTCAGATAATTCATCAGTTGCGTATAACACCCAGTACTCATCCATCACCTCACGTGCCCTCCCTAATGCCCATCACCCAATTACCCCATCCCCCACCCACCGCCCCTCCAGCAACCCTCAGTTTGTTTCCTGTAGTTAAGAGTCTCTCATGGTTTGTCTCCCTCTGATTACTTTCCATTCATTACATTTGAATAAGAAAATTATATGTGGGGTTCACATGCAACTTACTTTCAGGTAGGTTATATACATTGGCATAGACCATATATTAAAACCTTTCACTACCAGAGTCCACACTAAGTTCTGAACAGATTTGGGAAATGTTGCTCTAATTTCCATGATGCCTATTTGAGTTGGAAAGGTAGGATGGAATATGGAAAAGATAGAGATTTTATAGGTAGAGAAATTTAAGTTATATACATGAGAAACAGTTTATAGCTACGGAAACTTGGGCTAGAAATACTTGCCTGGCAGTGGTTCCCATTTACCAAAACATCTTCCAAATCTGGCTAAATTTTTATATTGTTAGATTCATTTGACTAAATATCCTGTCTGTTAGTCTTGTCAGAAGTCTATCTCATCCTGATTCTCCTGCTAGTGTATGGCACAAAGGATAATTCTCTGATACTGATGAGCCCAGCCTAGGGGTGCCTGAACCTTGCGATACTGTTCAGGTCTAGCCTAGAGGCAGGTGTGAATATTCCTTACCCATTTCTCCTTCCCACTAGGCTGCTCACTGGTTTGTATTTGGCCTTCCAATGGCAGGGGTTTTCTGAAGCAGAAGAAATTTCTAAATTGTTTTACTACAGCACAGATTAGGAAGAACAGAGAAGTTTGGGGCCTCCTCTTTGCTTCCAGTGATAGCTCCCTACAATTCTGTGTTTGAGTATTTCATATTGTATTTAACTCAATTTTAGCTCTTCCCAAAGCAACACTGGAGGGCATCCCAAGAATAAAAATAAACAAAGATCCAAAGTATGAAATATTTACATCTGTCCTTTTGTGGAAAAAGGTTTTCAAATTATGCAGGAGCATAACTGAAGATCTAGTAATTCTAGGTCATGAATTACCTCGACTACAAGTGTTCCATTTAGGTCTTTAATTTGTATACAAGTAGCTTCAAACAGGAGCATAACAAAATCAGATTTTATGTGAGGAAGTGATTACTGCTTAACTGTAAAGGGGGCAGATTAAGATGAAGATGCTCTGGTACAGTTGGGACCAAGTAAAGAAGCTGAGTGCTATAGTCTAGGAAAGAAATTTTAAGAACCATAACTAAGGCAGTAAGTATGGAAAGGATGTGGATAAATTAGAAGAATATTTTTGTGGTGCAGTTGTTAGGCTTTGTTAGAATGAATGTCTTGCAAGATATCATCCAATAGTTGGACTGCCATTAAGAGGCAGTGCTCACTTTGGACATGTGTGAGGTACTGGAGTACCTAATTGGAAATAGACAACTACAAATTGGAAATAGACAACAATAGAAAATTATAAATAGGTTTCTAGAACTAAGAGGGTATAATGAGAACTATAATTTAGGAATTGCCAGTATATAGAAGCTACTTGAAACAGAATGAATGAAAACACCCAGGAAAATGTATAGAGCAGGAAGAGAAAGGTCAAGGACAAAATTCTAGGAAACAAAACTTCCTCAGTAAAAATAGAAAAAATTAAGTTAAAAGATGATGTCATCAAATCACAAGGTTATACAAGTACCACAAGAGTATATTGCAATGCATTAAAGTAAGATGAGGAATGAGGAGAGAGGATTAAAATTGGCAGTGTGAGATTTTTTGCTTTTGCAAAAGGCTTTTTAGTGGCCATTGTGATTGGGGTAGAAGCCAAATTTTTATAAGTTGAGAAGTAATGGAATCTGTAAACCAGTTTTTCAAGAAGTTTATTGGTCGAGAAGATAGCTGTGGCTTTAACAGGAAGATAGTTTTCTTGGGGGAGGCTGGGGGGGGGGTTTTTTTGGGAGGGGGGACATTATTTCATTATGTTTGAGTTTTTGAATCAAAGAGATATGGACATTTTTAAAGGTTGCTCAGAAAGAGCCAGAGTTGAGAAAGGTGTTATTTTCATTATAGTAAATTCATAGAAGATTGGTAGGGATAGCCCTGAAGAACTAGACAGTAGAAAACAAAGAATGCAGTCAAGATGGTCTTTTGTTCCTATTTTAAGAAAACATCCTATCTATGAAAATCAGGCTTTCAATATCTAAGTCTTCAGTTGCGGTAAGTTTATTGTATTAAATTTTGGTTTATATGTGATTGTTAGTAAAAGGAATTTGTGTGAATATTGTATAAAAGGAATGCTTGGATGATGCCAGAGTGGCTATCCTATTGCACTTACCAAATTTTCCAGAACCAAGTGGTTTGCATGTGCCAACTGTAGGTGGCACTGTGCCCAAGGGAGACTGCAAATGTGTGTAAACTAACATATATATAGAAGTTTACTTTTCTGGAGTTTAATCTTGATGGAAATAAATGTTTAGTTAAATCTTTCAAACAATAAAAGATTTTTTCACTTAGGTTTCTTAATACAAAAACGTTTGACAAAATGTTAGTACATAAAAGCTTTAAGAAATTGAATTGAGTGTTACCAGTTTTTTCAAAACTACTGCCATCATCTCTGCATGAACTGGAAAATGCCTCATTTTTTTCCTTAAAATAAGTTGAAGTTTTAAGTTACAAAGGATTACTAGCCTTATCCTTATAACTTACCCATTTCCCAAATTCATTTCCCAGCTTATAAATCTTCCCTCAATTATATTAAGAATTTTTAAAAAACAAATACTTATGCTATCATATGATTGTGAATTAACATGGCAAATGAAAAGGCAAATCAAAGAGTTTGCCATCTAGTAGGAGAAATAAACAGCTGGTATACAAAATAAAAATAATGTTCCCTAAAAGAAATCAAAATTTAAAGAGGTGAGGAAGGCAAAATTACCTGATCTCTTTGGCAGATGTGTATTTTACAGATTAAGTATCATTTGAGCTGGATTTTGGAGGAAGAAGTAAGACTTATCTATGTATATCTAGGACTGAAAGGCATTTTGGATGGAGGAAACAACATGCATGAAGGTATTTAGGCAATCAATAATTGGATGTGATTAAAGCTTTGGTTGGATAAATAGGAATATGGGGGAATGAATTTGGAAAGGTAGACCAGGTTCAGATCATAAAGAACCTTGATATCTATAGACTTTGGACTTAATGATAATGGTATAGTCATTGGGGAGCCAGTGAAGATTTTTTTTTTTTTGAGCAAAGGGTATGAGCTTCAAAGTAATTAATCTGCCAATATTATATAGGCCAGTTGGAAGAATGGGCCATAAGGACCAGAGAAAGAAGAGACCAATTGGGCTTTTCCAGTAGTAGGGGAAAAAAAATGAAGTAATGGAAAGAAAGAAAAGTGAAAGGTTGAAAAAAATTACAAGGGTAGAATGAGCGGGTCTGCAAAAGATGAATATATGCTAGATTTTAATAACAAAGGATTATTTATAACAAGCTTCAGTGGCTCAGAGAATATGGCCTAGATACTGGTGCAGGTCAAAAAACAGAAGTCTGAGGAAAGAGAAGTTTTGTAGTGTTTTGCAGTACCAAAGGGTCATCCCCATGAAAATGTTTTTCAGAGAGTTGGACCCTTGACATACTTAGGCTTCTGTGACACTATTTTCTTCACCATCCCATCTCTTCGAATGTTCCTTACAGATATCTCTGTATCTGCCTATCTTTAAATGCTGAAAATAATCTAAGTTGCATCATTAAGCCTTTATCTTTTTACTTCATGATATTCTAGCCATGTTCCAAAGCCTAGGTTTACTAAGCTCATAGTGATCCCCTCAACTTTATAGCAGTAGGCTTGTAGGCTTGGAACAGCCTTCCCATTTACCCAGGTCTGCCATACGTTGATTATTTTCTACTTACTATAAAGGTTGGATCTATACATTCTGCCTGAGTGATCTTGGTGTCTGTGACTCCTAGTCTCATGTTTACAAATCAAGTATCCAGGCCCCATGCATATTTATACAACTCTACTGAACATCTTTTCTTAAACATCACATAGGCATGTCAAACACAGCATGCCAAAACTGAATTTCCCTATTTTAATCCCCACATTTTAATCTTTCCTCTTTAATTCTCTTTTGCTTTAGAAAACACTGTTGCTTTATTAACTACCAGCAGGACTGGCCTGCATGCGGCAGTGGACAATGGGCTGAGGGTATGTGTAGAATGTGAGGAGGAGATGATGACTGGGAGGCTGCTTTGAAGGAAAGGGGTGGTCTGGAGGCCAGGCTCAAGAGCCCCTCAGATTCACTTCCCAGGAATGGTTAGACCTTGTAAAGGAGTCATGGCAAGCTGTGGCCATGCCACCAGTAAGATTGAGAAATTCCTGGAAATCTAGCTGGCCAATCAGAGTTGAGGTCCATTTTTTCCATCATGCAGTGAAGGATGCCAGGGTCCTTCTGGTTCTTTGTGAAGGCAGCCAGGTCTGTGTTCATGAAGGTTAGGAACTCTTTCTTGGAGAGTGCAGTTATAACCCTTATATCCAGCACACTTCTGGAAAACAGTAATCAGAAAGTCGATGCACTGCTCAGTCTCAGTAGGGCTGGACATTTTTGCCATGTCTGCGTGGAGCAGGCATGGAGCCTGTGACCAGGTGGCGGCCATGCTATTCCTCTTTAACTCTTGATAATAGCACTGCACCACTTAGCTCAGCAAACTGAGAGTCATTTAGAATTTACTTCTCTTGACATACATACTCTTTCTCCTTCTTAAATAATATCTGGCCTGAAGCACAAAAGGGATGTAGTTCTAAAGTTAAAGCTTAACTCCCTATTTTTCCATTCCTTGTTGAACTGAGAAAACGTAAGTACATTTGGGCTATGTAGGGACATACAAATTTAATCTTTGTTCTTTCACTCATGCCTCCATTGTAACTTTTCTCTCACCCTTCTTCGCTCACTCCCATTCCTTAATGTTCCTCTCTTCATCAAGCTTCAACTTTGACTAGTAGGATTTGACCAGAGAATCAGTCAAGGGATTGATGGGTAGTAGAAGCTTAAATCTAAGTTCCTACAATATGTAAGTGGCTAGATTTCTCTGAGCTTGAATAGTTAACAGAGATAGCAGCTTAGTTTTCATTTGTCTCCTCTGTCCTTTTGCTACTTGTTAGGACCTGTAGAAAAGAATTAGGGAGAATTGAAAGAGAAATGACCCAAGTAAGTTCATGTATCAGGATGTTCATGGTTGCGTATGACAGAAAAGTCAGTTCAAGATGGCTTGAACGATGTAAGTTATTTTGTTAGCATATACAATCGCTAGTCCAAAGGTAGGTCAGTCATTTAGGCATGGTTTAACCAAGGCTTAAGCTCTTTTTCTGTAGTTATCTTTACCAATAATAAATGAAATATTGGTATGAAAGTTTAACAGCTAATAGGATTGCATAGTTTGTTCTCTTCACCCCCGAGTCAAGCCAACCTTTTACATTTTATACTCTTTTCTCCTCATTAGCTATTGTAGATATTTAATGTCTTAGTTCTTCCATTCTTTGTATTTTGTTTTCAATTTCACCAAGAAGTATCTTTACCTAAGAGCCCTGCATTGGCTTAGGCCTGCTCTTTCCTAAATGACTTACGGGTGTTGGGGTAGTCTAATGAAAACCCATCTCTGGAGCTGAGGTCACTTTGCGCAGTAGAGGACTGCTATACCATGGGGACAGATGAAACAGATTTTGGTGGGTGAACCACAGTGTGAACTATTCTTAATGTAGACAAAATAAGAGGACATAAATTTCAAGTGAAAAATGTTTATTTTACAGTTTAACAGTTCCTCAACTAAGAATATTCCAAAGCTAAAACAACATCAAAAAATTAATCATTTTGTTTTCATAGTTTCTGACCGGGGGGCGGGGGCAGGAAGGGAGAAAAGGTCAAATTATGGACAAACAATATGAATATATTGATTATACTGTTCTAAAAATGTGTGCATCTAGGTGATTCTGAACAACATTTGAATGGCCTAACTGTGACTCATCAGTCTGGTGATAATGACACAGCAATGTTAGAATCTGAATGTCAAGTACCTGTGCAGAAGGTAAGAGTGATGTTATTTTTTCCTCACAGATCTTGAAGGGATTTAAAATTGAATATGGAGGTGGCACAAAGGGTATTTTAAGGCTTAACTTAATGAGATTTTGGATCTCTAAGCCTATTTAATAAAAAAAAATATTTTTTTGGCCTATTTAAAAAAAAATGTTACTTGTGAGCAACATCTTCCCTCTCCCTTCTACCATCAGTTCCCATGCTTATGTTTAATTGTAAGTTCTGTAATGCTGGCATGTGCCAGCTATCCTGATTTTAAAGCATGTCATAAAGCTGTCTTCTAGAATTTGTTGTGGGGGATTTCCTAATGGAGTCTTTTGTGCACTTACTCTCAAACTACACATTGATCATTCTTTCAACAAATAGTATAGATGTTTGGGATGCATTAGATATATCAGGTGTTCTTCTAGGCATTTGAGTCATTCTCAGAAACTTACTGTGAAGGAGATGTTTATATATCCTTCCCTTTTCCCTCCCTCCCTTCCTCTCTTCCGTCTTTCCTCTCTTCCTTCCTTCCTTTCTTTTTTCCTTGGAAGTACTTCAGAGGACAACTTTTACTATTCCTAAGTGTTTGGCCACACTTAGGAATATGTAACATTTCACCATAAGGAGCATACTGATTTGGTCCTTGTGTTTTCTTAGAATTTGTAATTTTCTTAGATAATGTACTAATAATTATTGTCATAAACAATATGTTGAATTTGGGTATTTTGTTATTCATAAGAATCATATTAAAAAGTGCCTTTTCTGGGGCATCTGGGTGGCTCCATCGGTTAAGCATCTGCCTTCGGCTCAGGTCATGGTCCCAGGGTCCTGGGATCAAGCCGCGCATCGGGCTCCCTGCTCAGTGGGGAGTCTGCTTCTCCCTCTGCCTCTGTTCCCCTGCTTGTTCTCTTGTGTGCACTTTTCTCTGTTTCTCTTTCAAATAAATAAAATCTTTTTAAAAAGTGCCTTTTCTGATATCCAACATTAATTTTTTATTTTACTGGTTATTGTTTTAATAACAAAAGTGTTGCCCATCTCCTTTATGACGGAAAGAATAGTGCCACAGAATTTCTTAAATATTTGGCTTAACTATAATCTTTGTTTCTAACTTATGAAAACTCTTTATAATTTTGACTGACCCAAAATAAAGTTTGAAAGAATAAGAAAATTTCCAAAAGGGTAAAATAAGCAGCAAAACATCTAGTGTATGTCATACTGTTGCAGTTTGTGCCATAGGTAAAAGTGACATGTCTACTCTATTTCTAATGCCTAGCAAGTAACAGAAACTAAAATGTTGAAATGAAAGCTTAAGAAGGAGTAGGATTGTGTGGCTTGTTCTCTTCACAACAAACTGTTCCCATTCTTAATATTTCCCGCCATTGCTCCCTCACTATCAGCAGTGTTACCTTCTGTTGAGAAGAGAGGTTATGGAATATCAGTGCTAGAAGAGATTTTTGAGTATTAGTCTATGTGCATAAACTAGAGCTCAGGTGGTTCAAGTATCTTGTCCAAATAAGAACTGGGACTAAAACAAAAAATTTCAACAAACATTCAACGTCTTGTCTTTTTACTAAGAAACCCTGGCTTTTGCCATTCTTCTCTTCAGCCTCAGGAAAAGATCTCTCTTATTACCAAAGCAAACTCATCTCTGTTAATTCTCTTGTATTAAGCAGATTTATTGTGGAGGTCTCCTGCCATCTCTATGGTCTCTGTTATTCCTTCTTGTCTTAATTTCCCACTACCCATTTACATCTTAAACCAGGGTTTCTCTGGTTTAACACTATTAACATTTTGGGCTTGGATAAGTCTGTGTCAGGGGTAGGCTGCGCATTGTAAAATGCTGAACAGGAACCGTAACCTCTCCCCGACTGGATGCTAGTAGCACCCTTTCCCCCACCCCCATGTGACAACCAAAAGCATCTAGGTATCT